AAAGTAGGCAAATCAGCTTATGAAAGCACAGAAATGAAGGCAAGTGGGTTCCTCCCCATTATACAGACGCAGCACAGTGTAACAGCTGGCTTCCTAACGACGCACTGTGTATTAGTTAAAGATGCTCATGCTGTTTGAGAGGACAGTGGAAAATATAATTTCCCTATAAAGAATTTTTTTAAATAATGCTTTCAGATACATAATTTAAATCTCCAAAATTTTAGTGCTTAAAGGAGCAAGATTATTATTAATTTATATGGAGTCTGTATCCTTTGGGTATGTTGGATAAATTATACTTTCTGTGCTGTGCAAATATATTCCATATCAATTATATTTACCTAAATTTTCATATCTGACTAAGCACTCCTGTCATCACAGGTTTCTTCTAAGAGCATTAGGATCAGGGTGAGGAGGAGCATACCTTTGTTTTAAATATTGTGATCCAAATTAAGTGGCACTTGGATTTGTTCTGAATCCTTTATTTTCCATTTATCAGCTCTGTTATTAGGGTAAATTATTAAGTTATGTGGACCTCCCTGTCCTCACCAATACAGTGGAGTGGCAATGAGCTATGTATGCGTAAACTTCTAGCCTCCGCCACAGAGCCTGTGTGGGTGTGGCTGGCGCCGGTGGAGCGCCGGAGCCGGCTTGCCCAAGTACCGGGAGCCCATTATACAGGGTGGCAAAAGTAGGTTTACAGTTGTTTGTATGGAAAATAACACAATAATTAATAAGTAATAACAAGAATAAACTGTTTTGCTTACTCACAACTGTAAACCTACTTTTGCCCCACTCTATATTCTTCCCAGCTCTGTTCAGTGTCATCAGGTTGGTAGCTTGAAATCAGCCCAGGGGAAGTGTTTATACCACAGAAACCAGCAAATGCTACAGATCAGGGAATTTTTTCCTGGAGAGCCACTTTTTAAACATTTCCTAGCTCACCACAGGTAGGCGCCCCGTCACTGCTCATCTCCACAACCTTGGCTTCCCCTCTCAGCCTGGCCTGTTGTCTGAGTTGCTCTTCCTGCTACACCCTGATCCTTCTGGCATCGGAACCATAGGCGTACTTGCTCTAACACATATAGCTGGGCCCTACTCTTAGAGTTTGTAATTAGGTCAGTCTGAAATGGGACCTGAGAACTTGCATTTCTAGCATTGATACTGCTGGTCCTGGAACCAGACTCTGAGGCACTGGTTTAATCAGTGTAATAAACTGAAGTCTACAGAGCAAAGACCTCTGTAAGGCTTAGAAGAGACCCCACCTGTCTCAGATGATGGCACAAAAAATTAACAAATGCTTACCTCTTACTTAGCACATACACCATCTGACTGAATCTCGCTAAGGACCCTATGAGGTAATTAGTATGTCATAGATGAGGGAAAATGAAGCTCAGAGGAATCAATTAACTTACCCAAAGTCAAATAGCTCATAAGCACAGAAGCTAGGTTAAGCCCAGGTCCTCCAACTCTGGGGCCATTACATTCACGGTGCAAATGGTACAATGCTCAAAGGCAAGTCGAGGCTGAAATCCAGCACACTGCATGCTCCACATGCACCCTTGGGGCCGCATCAGCCGTTTCCTATGTGCATCAAAGTGCTGCGCAGTCTAGCAGGGCTAGTCTCCAAATCCATACTCTTCTCCTCCCTTCACCGCAACCCTTGGGGTTACGAGGACAACCGGTAGAAAGGCAGAGAAGTGTGGAGGGACAGGAAATACAGTGAGAGGGCCAAGGGATGACATTCCTTGGAGTGTAATCAAGCCCACACAAGTGGACATGTGGAAGATGCTTATGATACAGCTGTTCCTGCAGGAGGCTGCGGGGCAAGTGTCAGTGAGGTGGAGCGAAGGAATTTGGCTGGAGACAGAGTCACACATTGTCCGTGACAGCAGCTGTATCTGCTGCCCACCATAGCATGTGCATTGCCTGGTAGGTGCCCAGTGGGTGGGGCAATTAGCTTGTACCCCAGGGCACCTGGCTGCTTCCTCAATTTCCTTCCCATGGACTGTCAGCAATTAGGTTGCATGGATAAAAGCTGCCCCACTGCTGTGTTGAATCTGATGAGTTTATTAATTTCTTGGGGCTAATGGAAGGATGGGTGGGAGATTAATTTTCTGGTTGGAGTTTAGGAGCTAACTAGTCTCTTTGCCATGTTCCCAAAGGTGGGGGATGGGTAAATTGTTCAGACTGTCGGATCTGGTTCTGAGTAAATCATTTTATCCCTGGCTTCTGTGGGTATCTATCTTGTGGCTCAGGTAAGACCAGGTAGTCGGGGCCTGGGGCAGACAATTAGTGAGAATTGTGTCCCCTGAGAACAGTGGCGTGGAAAGTGGGCTGGGCTGGGCTGGGACTGAGGTCTCGCTGGCCCTGTCAGTGAAACGCACTTTTAGGATGACAAATAGGGCCCTAAGAAGTTCAGTCTTATCCAAAACATCCACATGCTAACAGCAGCCCAATTGCTCTTTATGTCCTTCTGTCCAGATCTGTCCCTTCTCACCACCATAGGAGACTGCCAGGGGCCAATTCTGGCCGTTTTGGTGCCTCTGAGAGGGCAATCGTTTCACCTGATTTTGTGGTGTCAGAACCGCAGGAAGAGCTCTGTGTCCAGGTTCATGCTGGATTGCTGAGGCCACTGCAGGCCTTTCTCCGGTCAACCAGGCCAGTTCATGTGGAGGGGCAGGTTCATGTCCCAACCCAAGAGAAAGCCACAGAGACGGGGAAGACCTTGGACTTAGGACTCAGTCAAGTTGTGCCACACTTACTAACTGGGTGAGCTTAGACAAGCCAGTAAGCCTCCCTGAGCCTCAGTTTTCTCATCCATAAAATAGAGTATTCTCTAGGGTGGTGGGAGAGTTCAGAGATGACATCTAGCATAACAGGCATCCAATAACTATTGTTACCCTTTCTCCTGTCCCATGAAAATCCAGCAGCTCACCCCTCATCCTCCCCACCCCTTTCCCCTGCAGAAAGAAAGGAGATGGGGGAAGCCTGGCTGTAACCTGACCTGACTGGTCCCTTTTAGGGACAATAGGCTCTCCAGAGAGCCAGAGGCTACCTGCTTTTTGTTCCTGTCCCGTATGTTCTGCCTATACGAAATGATGGCTTCCCCCGCTTCCGAGTGCCAGTCCCTGAGCCAGGTGCTGGGTGCAAGCACAAACAGGCTAGTGGGGAGGCGGATACGTGAACAAAAAGATGCAGTAGAAAATTAGAGGAGCGGGTCAGGGTGGCGATGAAGCCTTCCTTGGAAAGAGCTGTCTGGGGTCCAGAACACGGGTTAATGCCCAAGCCCCTTGAGGTGACCTCAGGAAAGCTGGGTGGGCTCTTTTAGTTTGGTGTCAGTTTCTTTATCTATAATGGGGCCCCCTGTGCAGATATGCATAAGACACTGCTTGTGAAGTAAAAGTGAGTGTGCGTGTGTAGAGGACCATCAGCCCTTTTTCCAGGTGACATCCTCGCAGAGGCCTGGAAAGGAGTTTTTGACCATCTCTCCATTGGCAGATAAAAGTATCACCTATAAAGACGATCAGGCTCCTGCCTGAAATGGAGGCCTGCAAGAGGTCCCAGCTGATGGTCCAGGGAGGTCCTAGCTTATTGCTCCCCTGCCCCCGCCCCAGTCTCCAGACTGTGGTGTCAGGGATATGATTCCTGCTCACTAACCACTGACTCCTTGGGGTGGAGGTGGGGACCAAGGGTAAGACATATCTCTCCTGATGTTGAAGTTTTTACAAGAGGGACTCAGAGCCCAGCTCTGGCAACTAGAGCCACATGCCACCCATGGAAATTGTAAGGGGTTTTTCAGGAAAAGTGCTTCTAGTGACTAGAAATGCCTGGCAAGGCAGATGTGTACATTTCGCTGGGTTCTAGCCAGCTGTCAACTGTCTCTCCTGGCTGCCCACCTCAAACACTCAGCCACAGAAATGATTTGTCAGGGGCTCCAGCTAGTAGGAATGTGTTAGTAACACATGTGCACACACACACACACACACATACACACTTATAAAAAGGGTTCCACTGGGAAAACAAACCATCTAAAAACCCAAAGCTGTTGAGTTTAGTCTCAGTGACTTTCTAGAGTGGAGAACTAAGTTGTGGGGTTTTTTCCCTAGAAGTTAAAACAATGTGGAAGAGAAAAGAAAATTGCATTTATTGATGTTGGGTTAAATGCATCCTCAGTACCACTCAAGAAGTTGCTCTCATTAGTCCCATTTTACAGGTGAGGAAGCATGCTCAGAGAGGGCCAGTTACTCTCCTGAGGTTGCATAGTTGAGATCCACGATCCTGGGTCTGGCTGAATAACTTACGTCAAAGTGATGCATCCATGATCTCAGTGGTCTCTGAGAAGACAAAGCAAACATTCCTATCTCCATTTGTAGACAGAGAAACCGAGACTCAGAAAGATTTAAGTAACTTGCCTAAGTTCTCACAGCCAGCAAGTGAGTCAAACAGGCTAGAACCTGGGGCTTCCCTCTCCTGCTTCATTCATTCATTGACCCATTCAGCAAACACTAATTAAAGGCCTGGTGTACACCAGTTCTCTACAGTACACCATTCTAATTCTTATTTAGATGAGCAGAATGACTGAAGGCAGGACAAAGCAAAAGAGCTCTGGGCCCATTCCTGCCTCGAGATAAAGGGAATCCACAAGTTCCACCCCTTTTCTGTGAGTGAACTTCCCTGAACTCCATCCATTCCCGATTTATTTTCCATTTTCTTCTTCCACCTCTCCTAAGTCTTTGCCCCTTCTACCTTCCTCTCACAGGTTTCCTCACCCTTCTCTGACCCCTGCAATCCCTTTTAACAGGTAACAGTACCCCTGCCCTGGTTTAGCCCCTTTGCTCTGTAGGCCGTATCTCTCCCTGCTTCTATGGCCTACATGCAGCCGTGGGAACTGGCCTCGCAGGGCCTTCCAACCCTGAAGACCTGCAGAACCTCAGCAACCCAGCTCCCCAGCCTCCTCCTTCCCCCATTTCTTCCCAGTCCTTTCTCCTTGGTCTCCTCAGATTGGCCAGTGGCATGTGGCGGATGGCCTCAGCATGGACAGCCGCCTCTACACCTCCAACATATCCAACAGTCTCTTCAACACCACCCTGGTCGTCACCACCATCCTGGTAAGCAAGGTGTCCCCCAGACCTCCCAGCTGCAGCCCCCCAGGGTGCCTCCTCCAGCTCCAGGCTAGTCACAGGCTTCCCAGTGAACAGAGGATGGGAACTCTAATCACAGTACCAAGACCAACTATGGCAGTGTAATTAAACTCAAGTAGCTGTTTCACAGGGAAATGACATCTAATGAGTTCCAGAGGAGCTGGGGAAGCAAGACTGGATGGAGACCCACAGTCTGTGGATGCCTCTTCCAGGCAGTCGGGGAGCTGTGCATGGCCAAAGGAAGGGGACTTATGAAACAGGTGGGAGAGGTCCACCAGGTCGCCTCCTCCTCTTTCATAACAGCTCACCTCACTTGTTTCCTGCAGTGTACAAATGCCCCTGCAGTGGACACCTGAATTTCAGTGGATGTTCATGGCTTATTTCTTCATTTTCAGCTGGCAAAGAGAAAATTCTCAATCTATAGTGCCAGGGACCATCTGCTTTTCTATTTTATTCAGTTTTCTTCCAGAATCACCAAGCCCTTCTCCCCACGTGCCAGGCACTGGGTTCATTCCTGAGGACATGGAGATGAGTAAGACTCAGTCTCCATCTTCAAAGGTTATAATTTAGTAGGTGGCATCAGTCGTGTTCATTCATGGCCAAGGTCTTCTTCCCCCTGAAGACTTCACATTTTAAAAGACTTGTCAGTTCAACCAACTGCATGTATTAAGCAATAATTACTTTGTTCCTCTCCCCACCCCACCCCTTTAACTAAACAAAAGCATATTTCCCTGAATGACACAACATCTTAGCAGCAGCAGATAACCAACCACCACACTGATAGAATTCTAGCCCAGAGCAGAGGCTTGGCATGGTGTTAGCCTGCTCAGCCTTATCACTGCTAAATGCACAAGGTCTGCAAATGCATCTGTTTCTCTTAGGCTTTTTGAGATCACAAAAAGACCTCGGGGACCTCCATCACCACCTTCATGAACTGCTGGGGCCCAGGCCCTGGACTAGACTTGTTGATGTCCTATAGCAGAGTGGGACAGAAGCCAGGAAGGAGGTGCACACTTAGAGCCTAAGGATTGAAAGAGAGAGGGTCCCCTGCATTGGGAGGTCAGCAAAGCCTTAGAGAAGAAGGGACATGGAAGTTGAGCTCCAGGAGACAGGGAGAGACAGAGAACTGAATCAAAGAGAGTACTGTCAGGTGTTGGGCCGGAAATGCTGAAAAGTGCATGTTTTCCCAAGAACTGAGCACTGTTAGTGAGAGGTGAGCTATGAGGCCAGAGGGTGGGCTGGGTCCACACTGCCTAGGGACTTGAATGCCAGGCTGTTGAGCTTTCCCTTCACTTGGTAGAAGACAGCACTCACTGAATATTTTTGTTCATTCCCTGAATGAACATTTCTTGGGCACTACTGTGTGCTGGGCACTGTTCTGGGTGCTCAGGAATAGATAGAACTGGGGAAGGGGAGCTGCGGGACTGAGAGCACAAGCAGTATAAACCCCCAGGTGGTCAGAGCCTCACTGAGAAGGGAAGATCTGAGCAGAGACCTCACAAAGGTGACGTTGACAGCCAAGTGCCGTCTGGAAAGAAATATTCTGGGCAGAGGGAGCAGTAGAAGCAAAGGGCAGAGAGGGCAGTTCCAGCTCTCAGTTACTTCCCATCTCAGCTCCCAGTCTAGCTGATCTGAGCCAATGTGAAAAAGATATTAAAGGGCGGAGGTGTCCCCACTCTGACTGCGATCTGGAGAGCCTGGCTGAGCTGGGGCAATAGTGAGCTTCAGCGTGGCCCAGCGGGGAGGGCAGCACACAGTGTGATCGCCGGGACCTCCCTCCCACTGTCTTCTCTCCCTCTGAAGCACTTCTCAACTCTGTCTCCTACTAGCTCTTTTCAAAGTCCATGCTCGAACTTAAACCTGTCAAACTCTCTCCCCTGAGCTGCTGCATTCCCTCATCGGCTCCCTTCACGCTTGCTCAGACCCTGGCTGCTTGTCAGCATGGCCATTCTGAAATCAGAATTGTCCCTTAATTTTCTTACTTAAAATTCCTCAGTGCTGCCCAGGACCCACCACCCTGAGCTTGAGATATAAACACTTCATAATCAGGCTGGGCCTGCTGGCCCTGCTTCCTCTGCAGCAACTTGGGGTCTAGCAGTACTGTCCAACATTTCCTCACTGTATCCTGCCATTGCCTGCCCTGCACATGCTGTTCCTGCTGCCATGAATACCTTTCCCCCTAATTCCTATTTCCATCTGGAAGTGCCTGTGTGTCCTTCACGGTTGTGCTTATGCAGCTTCCAGAATCTGACTCGGCCCTCTTCCTGTCCAGGATGTGCCGGAACATCCCTGTGGCAGTTCTACTAGAGGCTGTTTATAGCTCTCCCTCTGCTGGAATGAGACCTCCTCAAAGATAGGGGTGCCTGGCACAAGTAGGAGCTCAATGGTTGGAATTTGAATGGAGTTCTTTCCTACAGGATAAGAAAGGTCCCCTAAAAGCCAACAAGTGTTGGGAAGAAGAGGGGACGTCCTACCTCTCAGGGTCTAGAATCAGACAGTACTCAGAGCCTTGACACAGACCCACAGTGACACTGAGACCATGGGGTCATGTGCCTAGACCAGAAATGTCTATCTGACTTTGTGTGAATTTTAAATTAGCTTGAGAGTAGAGGGTAATTAGGGAGGCTAATTTGTGGTGCTCCTTGGGGTAACAAAAGATAGCCTGCATACTGCTATCCCAGGGATAAAAACTACCAGCTGAGACCTGTGCACGGTGCCAGCTCAGTGCCCTTCACTGGCACAATCCATGAGCGCTTCTTTCTGGAGCCAGGTTGGGCACCAAAGGAGGGAAAGAGTCAGCCCCAGGTCCACTTACGCTCCACCTGGGAGCAGGCACAAAAAGGAAGACTGGAGGAGGGCTGTGAGGGGCCCTGGCTGGAAGTACAGGAGTCCTTAGAAGTGAATTGGCACCACAGGAGGAGATGGGATACCAGGGACAGAGATGAGTTGTTTATACAGAAGAGGGGAGGGAAAGCAGTTGGGGCAGAGAGGAGCCCTCAAGCTGAGGACAGCGTGTGTGAAAGGCAGGGAGGCTTGCCCCACATCATTGACGTGACAGTGCACTTGATCATGAAGCATAACCTTTAACTTGGAGCTTCCCCACCCTGACACACAACTTCCTACCTTCTCCTCTCCCACTTCAGATGCTCACAAAACTGGTCCCCCGTCTTCCCCTCGCGACCTCTGGTCTGTCTGGTTCTCCATCTTACCCATCCCAGGTGTTCCTTTCAATACGAGCTCAACAAACCAGCCCTTCAGCACTTCCCTCTCAGCTTCTAAACTGCCTCCGCCAGAGTGCTCAGCCGTCTCACCTCACGCTCGTCCTCAGATCCAGCTGCCCTTTGCAATCAGTGCTCTCAGCAGCCAGTCTGCATTCAGCCTCCTGACTCCCCTGAGCCTCAGCAGTCCCTGTGCTCATCCCTCGCTCACCCCCTAAGCAGTCCTACCAAACCTTTTCACACACCAAGCCTTCAATCCTACCTGTCTCCCACACAACTCGGAGGGCTGGCATGGGTTCCCTCGCCTTTGGCCTCCTTGCTCCCCCTCCATATCCACATCCATGCTCCCCAGCTTACCTCCAGGTCCACTCCCCAACCTCACACTCACCTTGACCCCTTCTCCTCCCATCAGGCCCTGTGCCCTGCAGCACCAACTAGCACATCTTTCTCTTCTTCTCTAATCTCTCCTTTTTGAAGGATTCCTCCCTTTCTACCTACAAATATACCCTGGTCCCTCCCATCCCAAGATGCTATCACCACCACCTTACCTCCATCCTACTGCCCCTTCAGCTACCCACTACTTTAGTGAACTATAAAGCATGGGTTTTGTGGACCCTTGGGCACCCTCCAACCCAGTCATTTGCAGATGACGCACTAAAGCTCAGAGAGACGTGACTTGTAGCTGTTGGTGGAGAGATGGCCACCTGCCTGCTCCACGCTCACTGGTGCGCATGGTATCCCCCAGCCCTTGCGAGTGCTGCCACCCCACTGAATCTTCCTTGAGAGGCTGCCAGGGACAGCTCACCCAGGTGCCCTTTCAGAGCCTGCCTCACGCCTGTGGGGGAATGTCTGCCTTCTTGAAAAGTTTCCTTCTGACTGTCAGGGCCTCGTTGTTCTGACCTTCAGCTTTTCTTCTTCTGTGGTTGCTCCTCATTTTCCGAAGGTCAGGGTCTCCCCAAGGGCCTCTTCCTACCCCTCTCTGTCCTTCCTCAGTTCTTCCTCTCGGTGGCTCAGTGGCCTCACGTACTCGGGACCCTCGGCCATTGCCTCTCTACAGAAGTCCCCCACCGCTGCCCTCCGTCTTGCCCTCAGTCCACACTTTAAAGATTCAATCAGACATTTCCTCCTGGATGACTTACCGGCACCTCAGGTTCAACATGTTCCAAATCCTCTCCCCTTCCACGCCGTCCATGGCAGCGAGACCGTGTCCTCAGCCATCTGCCCCGCTCCGTGCCCCACACCCAAGCTGTCATCAAGCCTGTCCCGCTCTGTCCTTCCAGCTCTCTAGTCCAACCCGAATCAAACTTCGGCTCAGGACTCAGTGTCTCACGCCAGGGAGGGCCTGTCCTCAAGCCCAACGTCTGTCCCTTGCTACTTAATATTCTTTACTCACATCCTTACATCTTTAAAACTGTTCATGCTTCCCTGAAACACGTGTGATGTGCAGACACCTCGTCCTGCCACCCAAGGCTCATACCCTAATTCGTCTTTCTACTTACTCCCCTCCCCCAGCCTCCACACAACCCATACTCCACTACATGAGGACCCATTGTCCCCTGAAGAGCTCATGCTTGACCTCAGTTGGGATTATGCCCCCGATCATGCCTTTTCCCTGCCCATGGGGCCCTCCATTCATGCCACTTCCACCTGTCAGTGTTCTGTCATCTTCCAGAGCTCAGCTCAGATCCCGCCTGCTCCACGGAAACTTCCCAGGACATTGCACCAGAGAGACCCAACCCTCTTCCCAACACTCCTGGAGGGATGAGCTCTATCTTGGGCTGCAGTTGTTCAGTACAGGTTCTTACTTAGCCTGCTATATCCTCAGCATCCTTGTATCTCATAAAGCTCAGTAATAGGTCTGTGTGGAGTAGACAAACAAAGTGGATGGAATGGGGTGGGCTCAGGTGATGACTCTAAACGAGGCAGAGAGCCTTCAGCTTGACACTCTGTGCCTTGAGGTCGAAGGAGGGGAGCTGATCACCACCTCCAAAGTTGCCCATTATCTAAGCCACTTCCTTTCTGGTACCCCATTGTCTCTCTAACCCCCTGTGCTCTGGGTCCCCATCACATGTGGCTGAGACCCCAGGGCTAAGATGAGAATGACAGCTGCCCAGTTCTGCTGCAGGAAAACCCATATTTGATGCTGAAGGGGAACCATCAGGAGATGGAAGGCAATGACCGCTACGAGGGCTTCTGCGTGGACATGCTCAAGGAGCTGGCGGAGATCCTCCGGTTCAACTACAAGATCCACCTGGTTGGGGATGGTGTGTATGGTGTCCCTGAAGCCAATGGCACCTGGACAGGAATGGTTGGGGAGCTGATCGCTAGGGTAAGGAACAAACAGGTGATTTGGACTTGGGGGTGGGCTGGGAGGGAGAAGGAAGGACATAAGGTTGTGCTGTATGCTTACAAGCCCTCCATCCATCCAGTTAGTTATTCATTCATTCCTCATGGACTTGTCTGTTCATTGCACACGTCTTTACCGAGCCAGCACTGAGTTGGCACTGGTGATGATCATTGGTAAGTATTTTACACCATGATACTCTCCTAGGCCAGCACCTGTAACAGGTAAGGGAAGCTTTGACCAATTCACATGAATTAGAGAGTTGGGGTCCCATTTCTGGATAATCCAGGTGCTCTTTTTTTGTTCTGGTTATTTTATTGCTCTTTAGCACCCCCTGGCAGGCTTGGACAGGCCCCAAGAAAGTGAAACACACCTTCACCCACTGACTTTCACAGAGAGGTGCTGTCAGGGAGACATGGTTAAGCCACAGGGGAAGGATCAACTGTCATGGTTGGCCACAGGTGCAGTTACTGTTACTTCTTGTAAAGTTTTTTTTGCTATCCCCAATGTGCTTTTACAGACCTAGGGCCGAGGTGCACTTGGACAGGCTGTAGGTTTTCAGAGTGAATGTGGATTAAAATTCAGGTGAGCGTCACAGAGCATCGGCCATCTGTTAGGTTAGAACAAGGGTACATGGACTTCAGGCACCTGGCTGGGTGGCTCAGTTGGGTGGAGTGTCATCCCCTACACCAAAAGGTGGCAGGTTCAGTTCCCCACCAGGGCACACACCCAGGTTGCCAGTTCAATCCCCGGTCTGGCCACATGGGAGGCAGCCCGTCGATGTTTCTCTATCATGTCGATGTTTCTCTCTCTTCCTACATCTCACTAAAATCAATACAATATAAAGTTTTTAAAAAGTTCTTCCACAGGGAAATCTCTAGTTTTCTTGGTACACACTGTTAACATCTGTAAAAATTAATTAAGTCATTATTAACTCACGACCCATATTTTCATAACTGAGTTTTATGGTCAGGATAGGTGCAGAGAGCACAGACCAGGATTCTTCGGGCGTCTTGGACCAACCCCTTTCCCTCTCTGTGCCTCCCAAGAGCGAGAGGACTCCCTGCAGCTCTCCTGCAGTTTCCCAGCTAATGTCACCACGCAGCGTGCTTTACATACATTGTCTCCAACCCTCTTTAAACATACCTTTTAGCTACTTGTTATGCCCACTTTAAAAATGAGCCGTTGGAGTTCAGAGCTTGAATGGCTTGTCTGAGCCCGCACAGTTAGCATGAGTCTGGGCTGGGATCTGAGCCCAGGCCTGTGTCATCCAGAGCCCACGTTCCCTCCGTGCAGCCCCTCAGCTGGACTGATGTCACCAAGACATCGGCCCCCCTTCCTTCCCGTCTGCCCTGCTTTCTTTTTTCTTTTCTTCTTTCTTTACTTCCTTTCCTTTATCTATTGAATTAATATGATTTTAAGCCTTTACCTGTACCAAACTTGGAATATGAGATACATTTTTTAAATCCTGGTCTTCAAGGTTTAAATATTAGTTGGGGTGTTAAATGGGGCTATCCTTGGCAAAGCACTGTGGAGGTTCGGTGCCGACTGGAGAGTGGGGAGGGGATGGAGCGCTGGGGAGGGTGCTGAGGGGCTCGTCTGGCAGTAATGACCCAGCCAGGCTTGTTGAGAGAACTGTGAACTGTCCCCTGCACTGGGGTCCAGTGAGCTGGTTCAGAAGGGGGCCTTGTTCCTTGGGAGAGGCTTGCAAAGGGAGGGCTGACTCTTCAACAGAAGGCAACAGAAGGCCTAGGGAGGAGTCCACAGCATCACAGGGGCAGGGGCAGAGGTGAGGGAGAGGGCAAGAGGAGGCAGACTTCTGCGGGGAGCCTTCGCTGCGTGTAGACTCAGGCCTGCCCTCCTGACAGCGCCCTGCTTCAGCAGCAGAGGGAGGGGCCTTCCTGCTGGACCCAGCCTTTCCTGCCCACTCACTGACGTGCCCAGTCTCCTGGAGCCCTTTCTTCAGCCCTCCCACTGTCTGGAGACTGGTAGGGTGAGTTCCAGGATGTCGGCACACAGCCCCTGGATCTGTGACATGGACGGGCACGGGGAGGAGAGGGATCTGGGAAGCGGGGAAAGCAGCCACACACTGAATGACGTGGGTGATCAGTAAAGAATCTACCACCCACCCAGACCAACTTTCAAGCCAAAATTCTGCTGCTTTGTTCTCATCAAAACCTGGCAGCATAGTTAATGAAATATGTTGATTTAATAAATATTTAATGAACACCTACCATGATTCTAAACCTTGGAGACAAATAGGGGAGAAAACAAACAAGGATGCTAAGGGCAGTGCCCTGTGAGTCTCACCAGAGAGGAGATGCTGACCAATGGTCATGTTAATGTGTAATTTTAGTCTGATAAGTGCAGGAGAGGCATAGTAGAAGGAACTGCAGGAGCAGCAGGAGGGAGGGGTCCTGTCTTGAGAGGACAGTGGGTAGGGGAGGGAAGGCTTTCTTTGGGAAATGATGTTTGAGCTGACTTCTGAAGACTAAAAAGAGCATTCCAGCCAGAAGGCTGTCTGAATGCCCCTGGGCAAGAGTGGGTGACCCTGGGACCCCACCTTCCCCAGGTTCGATGCTTTGATATGGTCACCAAGATGTTCTCCTAAGATGGCAGGAGTCCTAAGTCCTGCTCCTCCTGTGTGACTCCTTTCCCAGCTGCATGTGAACATCTCAGAGACGAAAGTGGCAGAGCCTTGGGGTTACTGAATGTCCCACCTGGAAGAGACCTCAGAGTCGCTCACTGTCCCTAAATCTGCCATGTACACAGATAAGGAAACAGAGGTTCAGGGAGGTTAGTAAACTGTCAGAGACCACACACAGCCAGTAAGTGTAGAGCCGCGCTTAAGCCGCAGCCTGTCTGACTTCAGGCTCATGGTATGAGAGAGCAGAAATCTTGATGTTAGATGGACCTACGCTAACATTTCAGTTCATTCACTTACACGTCTGTGTTTTAGGGAAATTTATTTTTCCCTTTCTGTCACTTCCCCAAGGCTTCAGTTTTCACCTGCAAAGAATTTCTGTAAAGATTTGAAATATCATATGCTTACATACAGAGTGACATACAAGAAGTAGGAGAATTTTCTTAGGCTGGGCTCCCTAAAGAACAGAGCCCAAGGAAAAAGTGTATATGCTAACTCAAAGAGTGCCATTCCAGTGAGGGCGCTGGGAGGAGGCGGGTGAGGCAGAAGGGCCCCCTCAGGGAGTGTGCACCTGTGCAGCACAGCTTTGCTCTAGGCACAGCCGGTTGTCGGTCTGCAGAGGGGCCTGTGAAACTGCTCCCTCACTGAACAGCCCAGAGTAGGGGGAGGAAGATGGATCTACTGAGTTCCATCTCTCAGCGCTGAAATGAAGTTCATTCCACAGGACACCTTCAAAGAAGTCAGATCTCAAGGCAACGGTGAGCACACTGTCAGTCCTAGCGACATCAGGTGTGCCGGTCGAGTGTGTGTGTGTGGGGGGGTGATCTGGGACCCACCTCCCTGCAGGGGTAGGAGCCAGTGTGTGCCTGGCTGCCAAGAGATCTGCACATCCTCACACCTCAGCAGCCTGAGGACACTGCCTGGCTGGAGGAACATGGAGCAGTGATGATGTGAGGCATATGAAGGGTTAGGAAGAGCAGGCACAGTGAGCCAGGCCCAACAAGAGGGTGGCACACCATGATGACATTCCCCAGCCACCAGGGCAGTGAGAGAACCTGTGGAGCCTTCCTCCCTCATAAAGCCATCTCAAACCTGATTCCTCCGGGGGGTGAGGCCCAGCTGTCAGCCTCAGGCTCAAGAAAAGATCTCAAGGCTTTGTCTGCCATCCCAAGATCCCTTTATGATCTTTTCCACCAAAGGGGTTAATGTGGGAATCTGGGATGTGGGGCAGGGGGTAGGGTTCAATTATGTTCAGAGCAACCTCAGCAGCCTCAGATCAGATTCTTCTCCAACCCCATGAGCATCTAGAAGCAGCTGGGAAATTTGTCAGAAGGCTCACTTCTTGGGAATTATTTCTACCTTTCCCACCTAGTGCCAGCTTACTAAGGGGAGGAAGCAGAGAAAATGGAAATGTATTAACTTAGACATCTGAAAACCTTCTAAGGGTCTGTCTTGCTTTAAACAGAAGAGACGGGCAGAAAGGAATTGATTTGGGGAAGGGTGGGAAAGGAAGCTATGAAAAGTAACATCTTAGTATCTTCTGAGAATGTTCTGGTCCCGATTGCCCACTGTACCTGGCAGAGGTGGAACGCTGCCTGCAGCTCAGCCATGCATAAGCTCCAGTCTGAAGTCAGGGGCGCTTTCAAGAACTCCAGTTCAGTGTGTGGCACTTAGCCTCTGTCTCCTTCCCCAGAGCACATGCTCGTTCACTGCCCAGTTTTAGCAATTCAGCTCCTGGTTATCCCCAAGCTTGGATCTTTGATGTAGCTAACCTCAGTCCTCGCCCTCCCCTCACCCCAGGAGGAAGGGTCCTATCCCGAATCAGAAGCTAGGGCCCTACTAACCCTGCTGATGTATTTTCTATCCTTGGCCCATGTTACCTGCCCCTGGATGCATTGATTCAGCATCATTGTAGCTTAAGGTTGTTAAGATATAGCTCTTACTTTCATTGACCACACATTCTATATACGCAGAACCTCCAAGTACTGTTGTGCAGACTGCATATTGGACAAGGGGTGATGGGGCCTGGAACCAGCTTTCACTCTGCTCGCCACGCATGTGGTCCGCTGTGAGGCTGTGGCCACCTGTGGATTTTCTGCCTACAGAGATGCCTTTAGTTTGCCAAGCCATGTGCCCACTAAGTCTCCTGGGAGAATTAATTTTTATAATTCACATAATGGCTCCAACTATACTTTAAACGAGGCCCAGTGTATAAAAATAATGAAGCCATAGCATGTAATATATGCAAAATGAAATTGTTTACAAAAGTTTATGGGAATATAGAGGAAAAAAGAAATAGTTCAACTCCAGGGAGGCAGGCATAACTTTGGAGCAAAGCTAA